AGCAACATTGAGAAGCAGTCAAGTGGATCTTTCGGTACTTAAAGGGTACTGTGGGACATGGAATTATTTTTGGGAGTCAGCGGGATAATCCTTTGGTTGTAGGATATGTGCATTCAGACTATGCAGGTGACTTGGATAATAGAAGATCTACGACAGGGTATGCCTTTACTCTTGGTGGAGGGCCTATTTGTTGGAAGTCTACTGTTCAATCTGTTGTGGCTCTATCTACAACTGAAGCTGAGTACATGGCAGCGGCTGAAGCTGCAAAAGAAGCTTTATGGCTTACTGGTTTAGTGAAGGAGTTGGGTGTTCAACAAGGTGGAGTTCAGTTGCTTTGTGATAATCAAAGTGCTATTCACTTGGCTAAGAATCAGGTGTATCGTGCTAGAACTAAACATATTGATGTAAGGTTCCACAAGATCAGAGAGTTGGTTGCATTTGGAGAGGTTTTGTTTCAGAAGGTACATACTGATAAGAATGCCGCTCATATGTTCACCAAGCCAGTTACGACAGACAAGTTCAAGCATTGCTTGGACTTGTTGAATGTTTTGAGTTGTTAAAGAAGCAAGATAACCCAACCCACATTGAAGTTTCCAAGGGGCAGGATATTCGCCAAGGTGGAGATTTGTTAGGTACGGCTCGTTGTGGGGTTACGAATTATGTGGGTTGGGGGTGCGGGGGCGCAGCCCCGCGGTACGGTACAGGGTTGATTTTGTAATTATGTACCAGTGTTTTCTATTATAAATAGAGATGTAACCTAGACCTAAAATATCATTGAATAAAACTTCTAGCGCCGCCTAGGCACCGAGGACGTAAGCACATTGCCGAACCTCGTTAAATTCTCGTGTTCTTTTGTTTTCTTTACCCGTTTTTGTCAACAGACACAATAGAGGTTAAGGTGGATAAAAGCATATTCAAAGTCAGAGTTATTGAGTTGGGTTTGATAGAAGACCGCTTGGTAATCCAGGCAACAAGGAATACTATAGAAGAGTCGTCAAAATCCTACTCAGGGAACAACGTTGGGGAAAATCAATCGTCGAAAAAGTCAAAACGGAGCTGGTTGCAGACAAAAGAGGAAACTTTGGAGGGACCATTCGGTGGGAAAGAATTCATTAATAAAATAGCCATGTGTCGACACCGTTTTTCGCCCGGGCGAGGAAAGACCGATACCGACTCAGGGGTTTTTTCTTTGAAAATCATTTCGAAATGTAAGGAGTCGCCACCAATCATTTAAGGTGAGATTGGAACACCGTAAAAATCGGGTGATTTTAATAAAACATTTTATTTTAATAAAATACTGAGTTTTAGGGTCTGTAAAATCCAGAAATCAGGTTCGGGAGTCAGTTACACGTGTCACCTTTTGATTGGATTGAAAATTTATTAAATTAGTTATATTAAAATTAAAAACTCTAAGAAATAAATTTATTAAATTAAAGTGAAATTAGGACCTAATTAAAAATTAAGAATTAAAGTTAATCTTAGTGATCAAATTGATTAATTCTAAATCCAGGGGATTTAATCTATAAATTTAATACATGACTGGAATAAAATATTTTAAAGTTAATTCTCAAATTAAGGCATTAGATAAATTAAAAATAGAATCAGGATTAAATTGAATTAAATGAAAATCCAAGGAAACAAATCATATGCAAGTACTGACCAAAATGGAAGAAAAACAAAGCAGGATTCCAGCACTGCGAATACATAACTTTACAAGGATCCACAATCTAATTATACTAATTTAAATAGTTCAGTGGTCATATTGATATAAATTTGAAAATAATTATCATTTCGAGACCAAACCACATAGTTGAGTGGTCATTTATGTAGTTTACCCTATACTATATGAACAATTATTTTGTATATATATATATATTATTAGCGGTTTGTCACTAATTAATAATGTTAGTCCACATAATCTTAACTCAAAATAATAATTTAAGTACGATAATTACTAATATTGTTAATTTAGGTAATATAACAATACACAAAATAATATTTTTATTATCATATTAGACATTTTGACAAAGTATAAATATCACGTCAGATATTTTAAAAGAACATATACCACTTCGGTCATTTTATCAAAGTACAAGTATTATATTAGTCATTTATTAAAGATAAACATCAAATTAGATATTTTAAAAGTACGTGTATCATATTGAATATTTTATTAAAATACAAATGCCAAATATGATATAGTTCTAAGGGTATAAATGAATAAAGCGTTTGGTGAATTGTTCGTGAACTGTTTGCATAACGTTCGTTTATGTTCGTTTATTAAGCTAAATAAGTAAGTATGAACAAAAATTTTTCGTTCGTTTAATAAAAGAACGAACATGAATAGAAACACGTTCAGTTCATTTATGTTCGCGAACAAACTCGTTTATATGTTCATGAACAAACTCATTTAGGAGACGGCTGCCCCTCTCTAAGTAAAAGTAAAGTCTTTCCTTCAACTAGAATGTAAGTAAATTGAAAGAAGCGCGGAAAAGGGTCAAATGCGGTTGCTAGCATCGAAGAGAGCCGTCTTCGACGATAAAGTGGGAGTTCGGACTTGGCGAACGAGCTCTTCCCATGGGAGAGGAAAGCGGGGGCAGGCAAAATAACCATTCCGGTGGTTGATAGTAGAGCAAAGGCTGGACAAACATGGATAGGCGTGCCTTATCATCCAAAAGGATGTAGAAACAGGAAGGGCTCGTAGGGTCGATCCCACATCTCATAGAGAGGAGGAATACCAAGGATGATAAGGGAAAACTAACTCTACAGCTCACAGGAATGGGAAAAGTCATTCTACATTACTCCAGTTTTCTCATAGCTTTATTTAAGAGAGAATGGGGAGTAAGGCTGAAATGGCTATACGGCTTTCAAATTCTTTTCGTATGTTGATTGAATTAATAGATGCTGGGTGAGGGCTTAAAGACCCTATTCACATAGCGTTCATGGACACATATTTTTCTTTTGGGCAGATTTTCCTATTATCCTACTAATTAAACTACATTTTCAAAGGTTTAAAATTAAGGGTTACGCTTCCTTTCCTTTTTTTAATCAAACCCTAAAAGTTTATTAAATTTCAGCCGTATCCCTCTTTTTTTTTTTATCAAATTAGAAGCTTCCATTCATCTTTTTACAAGATTTTGTTGTGGGTTTGTAAGATATTCGAGTTTTGCAGCAGTTCAAGATATATAATCAATCCATCTCTCTTTCCTTTCTTTAACAGCTAAACAATTGGAACCAAACCCTGGGTTTGCTCTCTTAATACGTTAGAGTTACTTTTATCTGTTCATGATCCTCTTTCATACTTCTAAACTATATGATTACATTCTGTGGTCTTTTGTTTATTAGATAAAGTGTTTAATTCGTCCGTATGTATGATTTTGTTGATAGTATCCGAGGCTTGAGAAAACATTCAGGGTTGTTTTTACTTAGAAAGTAGCATGGTTAATGACAATCATTTACGAGTTAAACTATCTGTTAAAAACCCTTCTATTTTAACGTAGGATAGGAAATTTTTACTATTTAACTCGTTGATTGGTCTGATACTTTACTCGAAGAATAGACTTGGAATTCCAAGAGTTGGGCAAACTATACTTTCTGAGATAAAAGAGGCTACGTGATTAAGACTTTCTGATCTAAAATTTAGGCTCGTGTATTATGTTCATATATAACTAAGCTTAGCATGGGTATAACACGAAGGGGGATTAGATTTGTAAATGGTTGATGTATAGTTGACCATATTGTTGGATTGTAGGAATTATTTGCTTTTCATCTAGAAAAACAACATTAGTTCAATCTTTTGTTAACATTTTTTTGCCTCTTTGGATGATGCAGTTACTTCAATAATCTGTTTTGGAGATTTGAAACTAAGCTTCTTCAAGAGTTGCTTCTATTTGGTTTAATTTGGATTTCCTTTCTTATATTTAAATTGGTTTAATTTAATCTACCCAATTCCTTTCTTATGTTTAAATTAATTTAATTTAATCGTACCCAATATATTAAGTGCTTTCACATTCTTTGACTGTTGGTTTTCTTCTCAAACGAACCAGAGTGAAGAAAAAGGAAAAAGAAGAGTAGATTAATTTCATCTTCAACTCAAGAATTGGTTGCATCTCTTGATATATTTAATTGTTCAACTTCTTCAAACGTCATCAAAGGTATGTAAAAAATTTCTTATTTTTTTCTATATTAATAGTATATATCATCCTATAAGATCCGACTGTTTCTAACAATCTCTCTAAAAATGGGGTTCGGGGAGGCCACAAAGAGTTAGGGGGAGACATTTTCAAATCTTTATTTGTGGTATATTATTCTCATTTACCTTGTTTAAGTAATATGTATTATTGCTTTTATAGAACTTATTTATTATATGCAGTGTTACCCACTAATAATGATTTGAGTTTTTTTAATTTTTAGGCATGCCTTATAACTTATAACATGGACATTATTGTGTATTGGTTCTTCATCACCAATGGATGTCACTGAAGGAAATGACATAGAAAGAAGACATCAACTGTTTGGCAAGAATTGACTGTCATTAATCTTCCTGATGGAACCGGAAAAGTACAGTGTAATCACTGTAAGATTAAACTTATGAAGAACAAGGATGGTAGGACTACACAATTTAAAAGGCATTTAGATGGTTGTGTGAAACGTCAGATATCTTTAAAGGGACAAGGCAATCTTTTTAGCACCGCAAGCACCTAGATCTGACAGTACGAGTGGTATCCAAAATTGGATATATGATTAAAAAAAGATCAGGGAAATTATTTCTCACGTGATAATGGTTCACGAGTTACCTTTTGAATTCACTGAGTGTGAGTTATTCACTTTATTGATAAAAACTGCAAGTTCTCATTATGTAAGAATTTCTCGTGCTACAACCAAAGCTGATTGTTGGACAAGTTATGAGGTTGAGAAGACGAGGTTAAATGGGTTGTTAAAGTCAGTTGATAAGATTAGCATTAAAAATGATGTGGATGTCGGGTCAAAAGATTCAATACATGGTCTTGACATCTCATTTTGTGGACTCTGATTGGTATTTACAAAAAGGAATTTTGAACTTCGTTGATGTGCCTCCACCACACAGTGGAGTTGTTGTATATGATGCATTGTACAAATGTTTACAAGACTGGGGTATTGAGTGAAAAGTGTGCTCAATTTCTATGGACAATGCTTCTTACAATGCTGCAACTATAAGGATGTAAAAAGATAGCCTTTCATTTCATAAAAGGCTTCTTTTGAATGGACAATTATTTCATATTCGTTGTTGTGCACTTATCTTAAACCTATTGGTGCATGATGGTTTTTCTGAAATTGAAGATGTAATTGAAAATGAGAGGGAAAGTGTGAAGCACATAGCAACATCCACTGCGCGTTTGACTATTTTTAGTGATATTGTCAAACAACTTCAGTTGCCAAACAAGAGGTTGATTTTAGATTGTTGTACACGGTGGAATGCAACATATTCTATGTTGCCATGTGCGATGGAGTTTAAAGATGTATTTTCACAGCACGCTCAACGAGATGTAAGTTATAAATATTTGCCAAGTGATGAAGATTGGATGAGGGTTGAAGAAGTTTGTTCTTTCTTAGCACTGTTTAATGAAGTTACCAACATTATATTAGGTAAACAATTTAAATATATATAATTTTATTTCATTATTTATTACTTTTTATTTATATTATTTAATTTAATGCATATTTTTCTTTTATAAATATTAGATTCTGAATATCCAACTTCAAATTTATTTCTTACTGAACTTTGGAGTATCAAGGAATTATTGATGGAGAAATCTTTGAGTAATGAACTTTGGATGAGACAAATGGCCGGGAAAATTCAAATAAAATTTGATAAATATTGGGGTGAATACAATTTGTTGATTTCTATTGCTGCTATATTAGATCCCAAGATGAAATTGATTGACTTCAGTTTTTGTGTAATTTATTCTAAAGATGAAGCTCATAGACAAATTCACATTATGCGTGATAGTTTATATGAGCTTTATAAGGAATATGTGGTTGAATATGCAGCAACTAATGTTGGTACATCAGTGGAAAATGACGTGCAAGAAAGTGGTGTCAGCAATGTTTCTAACACTAGTAAAACAGGAAAGGGAAAAATTATGACTGGAAGGTCCAAGTTTGAGAGATATATTCGAAGTGTTAAAACAGTTGATGATGTCAAGTCTGAACTAGATACATACTTGGAAGGAGTTTTCATTTGTAAGGAGAATTTTGGTGATTTTGATGCCTTAGAGTGGTGGAAGGTTATCAAGTTTCAAATTTTATCAAAAATGGCTATTGAAATCTTGTCTATTCCCATTACCACAATTGCCTCATAATCTGCTTTTTAGTGCTGGTGGTAGAGTGATTGATGCATATCGTTCATCTTTAGAAACTAATACGGTGCAAATGTTACTTTGTGGTTTCGATTGGTATCGGAACTTTTATGGGTTGAAAAAGAAATCTAAAGTAAATAATTTTCAAGCATTTGTTTTGTTTATTTAATGTTTAATTATTTAATTTGATCACCTAATTTTATTTTTTATGTAGGGCAAAGAAAAAGAGATTTCTTTACTTTGAAGTTATAATTTTAAAGATATTTAATTTTTTTGCTCTGATTTTTAAAGTTATAATTTATAATTTGATCACCACATTTGTTTTGTTTATTTAATGTTTTGTTTATATAATTTGTTTAGTTTTTTATGTTATTATACTTTGAAGTTCATTAGTTACTGCTGATTGTAATTACTAATTGTTTAGTTACTGCTAATTGTTTATGTTAGTGCTAATTGTTATTATACTCATGTTATGATTGTTACTGCTAACTCATGTTATTATACTTTGAAGTTCTTTAGTAATTATACTAACTCATGTTATGATTGTTTATAATTGTTTCATAATTGTTTATGCTACTGCTAATTGTTTATAATTGAAGTTCTTTAGTAATTATACTTTGAAGTTCTTTATTTTAAATGTTTATGTTACTACTAATTGTGTATGCTCTAACTTTAAATGTTTATAATTGTCTATGTTGATGCTAATTTCGTTTTACCATTCTTGATGTTTGTTTTTATTTCCTAGGTTTTGCAGGTGAATTAGGCGGGATATTTTTGTTGTGATTGTCATTTTATTTTGTTGTTTTGACTGTGTTGTTCGATGTGTGACGGATGACGTTTTGCTAAGTTGCTACTCGTATGATTTGGTTGTTCTATTTTATTTTCAAGTATGTTTTAAGATGGAAATGTTCATGGATGTTTATAAATATTGCTATAATGTTTTAAGATTGTATTTTGTTATTGTGGACCGTTAAGTTTTATTAGTTGATTATGTTTAATTTATTCTTTTCTATTTATTTAGTAACATTTTTGAACATATATAAAAGAGCATGTTCACGAACGTCAATCGAACATGTTCGCGAACGCTAAACGAACATGTTCTTGAACGTTTAAACAGACATGATCACGAACGCTAAACAAGCATGTTCACGAACGTTTAAACGAACATGTTCACGAACGTTTAAACGAACATGTTCACGAACGTTTAAATGAACATGTTCGTGAACGATAAACGAACATGTACACGAACGTATAAACGAACACATTCACGAATTTAGGTAACGAACTTTAAATGAACGAACACGAACACATTTTAAAATAAATGAACGAACATGATATTGAAAAATTAAAAAAATACGAATCGAACATGAACACCTTTAAATATAAACAAACGAACACAAACATAGTATTGTTCGTTCAAGCTTGGTTCATTTACACCCCTATATAGTTCTCATTTCTATTTGTTTTTAATAGTTTAAATAAGTCAAAGGTTTCTGTACTATTTTAAAATTTAAAATTATACTTTATTTTATGAAATTGAGTTCATTTACTATTTTTGATTTGAAAATTTTGGTCTCTTTCGTAACATTTTATTCAATTTATCATTAACTGTTAACCTAATGACTATAAAAAAAAGGAAAAACTACTTTTTTAGGACTATATTTATAATTTTCCTCAATTTGATTCTTTAAATAAATACTAGACGCAAAGACTGAAAGATGTATTTGAATTAATGATTTTTTTTTTAATTTTTAAGGATTAAGGGTGAAATTGGTAAAAGCTATAAATGTATGTGACTATTTTTTTTATTTTTAATAGCTTACATGTCAATAATTAACTGCATAATTGAACAATAGTTAGAGAAAGGTCAAGATTTTTGGATAAATAACAGTACATGAATTCAATTTCACAAAAACAAAATACAATGATCAAATTTTAAAATTTAAAGAATAACAAGATATTAAAATTATATTAACACAAGTGTGTAGACAGGGGCTACTGTGCTCATGTTCCTTTAAATATTACTTAAATATATTTGTTAGAATACTTTCAAAAGATTTTACTTTTCTAAAAATATTACGATTCGATCTCAGTCTTCAAATCAAATTTTAGGTTCTCCCTAAGCTTAACTGTAAACACTCATTTTCGTTCTGATTGTAATTCAAAATTTTATTCAAAATTTTATTCGAAGTTTTTCGATATATGAAATTAATCCTTTGATTATTTTTTTAGTTGTTTTCTTCAATCAAATTGCATCAATTTTAAATATATTGATATATATTAAATAAATTAAGTTTATTAACTAACTATAAGTTATTAATTATAATTATATAGTAAATACATATTAAATAAAAAATATATAGTAACATTTATTTATTTTACAGATCAAGCCGAAGTTGATTATTGCAACAAATTCGGCCTAATACAAGGATCGACCAGGCAAACCCACATGCAAGACTCAGCAGTAGCTAAGGTTTTGTAACTCTCACAGCGCCGTCATCAACAATAGGAGAGCAGCAGCCGTTGGATATGGACGCTGAAGATCCAATGGACCAGATTTGATATATGGGCTAATGGTTTTAGAAAACCCTATGTCCAACTTCAGTCACCTTCCAAAAGTTCCGAAGGTCGCTCTCGAGCCTCCATGCCATTAGTAATGTAATACCCTAATCCAATTCAACTCGAAAGATCCATGGATTACGAAGTCAAACGGGCCACTGAAATGGCTACCCAAAAATTTCTTTCGAAAATTGCTTTATAAAACACACTGATGACAGTTCATCCATAGAATTTAAACTAAAATGTCATAATAAGGTTTACAATACGGGGGAGCTCCCAATGTCAAAGTAATACAATACTGAGTTTAAAACAAAATAGAGTTACGACTGAATATATAAGGGTCTATATAACAGTACATGCCCTCTAAAAGAAATCCAAGATGTATTTCGGTGTTTGGGCTGGACTAGAATCGTTGTCGATGATAATGCTCTTGCACTGGTCACCTATGATCATGCGTACGGAAACACATTCCATACGTTGAGCTTACAAGCTCAACGCCTAACAAATACCTAAAATGTACAACATGCATTCACTAAATGAATTGGCTAGTGGCACATGTCTGAAATATGAAACTACTGGTCTACTGAGTTGTGGATATAATCATGGCGTGGATGAGGGTTTTGCATCTCGGAGCTCGTGCACACCCTCTAGCCTATTGATAACTCTGTAAAAAGACTTAATTTATAGTCTTTTCACTTAAGTTATTGCTCGTCTAAACAAAGTATGCATTGCATTTTTTAGTGGCATTTAGTTGCATATAGGTTATATTTGGTTGTGGTGGATAAGTTTTGCCTAGGCAAGATTTATTTGGCTTAACTGATGCTGCTGAGGAGAAGGGGTTGTTTGAGTTGTGTTTGTACAGGAACTCTACAGAGGAAGAACATTTCAGTCGTGACAATGAAAAGTTGCAAAGGCCAAGAGAGTAGATGAGAACCTGAGGAGCAGATTTATCTCGCCGAGGCAAGATTTATCTGAAGAAGTCTGAAGCACATGTACTTCACGTACAAGCAAGCCTTGATTATTCTGACAGCCGCCAGTCGCATTTCCTTTTTAAGTTTGGGAAATTAATAACGGCTAATTAAGGAAACTCCAAAAGCATGCAAAGCCCTAGGAGATTCTCCTTATAATTACCAGCCGTAGCCATAAAAAAAAGAGGAGGCAAGGAAGAAGAAAGAAGAGCTTTACCTTAGACGTGAGCAAGCAGCTACAGTGCTTTCCCTCCGTCTACCCCCCAGTCTTCCTTGGTGTCCTCCATAGCCAGACGATAGCAGAACGGTGATCAGGCCTCGAGAGAGGGTGATCACCAAGGCAGGCGTGGTGCTGATCAGGATTGTCACGACAAAGCTCCGGTTTTGGGAGTTGTTCTTCCTTTGTTCCTAAACTCTAATTCTATTTGGGGCTGTATTAAACAGTTTAATCTTGTATGATCTTTGATAACACCATGAATGATTTACTTGGTGTTAAACTTTGTTTGCTTGAACAATATTTTTATGTTTATGAATGATGAATTATGTTTGCTTATGACTGTTTTGCTCATAGTTTAAATATTTTGCCTTAACATTGTAAGAGCATCGAGAGATCGCCTAGGGTTTCGGTAAAACATCTGGGCATTGTAAGAGCATCGAGAGATAGCCTTTTGTCTAGAAAATGATTCTTGAATTTGATAGAATTAAGAGAGATCAACGTGAGCAAAGGAATGAATCCGGGATAGTGAAGTTCTAACTTGTCTACCTTAGAGATAAGGAGTGAGTTTCAAACGACTAAAAGGGATAAAGGCTAGAGTAGGTTAAGACAACGTCTATAGTTAACGCCTAGAGGTATTGCCATAGCAATCGTCTAAGAATACCTAGTAATCCTGTCGGGCAGTTTAGTGAGTCATAATAATTAATTCTGGGCTTAAAATAATTGTTGCCGAGACAATAGTTTAACATCAGTTCTCTATGACACGTCTGAATATGTGAGGTTGTTTGTATTATATTTAATCCAATACTTGTTTTGTTTTGTTTTATCTGTCTTCATATTTTCTTTGTCTCGACCACACTTATCTGCAATCGTTGAATCATTATTCTTAGCTCCTTAATATTAGTTCTTAGCTTTAATACTTAGTAGGATTAATTTGTGGCATTATTTATAGTTGTGGTGAAAAGATATTTCTAATCCAATCCCTGTGGAGACGATACTCACTCACTACTATATTACTTGCATCGATTGTGTGTACTTACACAAATTAGCTTGCCTTAGCATATACATTCACAAGCGATCATGTTTTTGGCGCCGTTGCCGGGGATTGGCAACTGACAAAATTTCTAGCCATAACAAGTTCTTTGTGTCACTTTATAATTATTTAGTCTAACGTAGTTTATTATTTTCTTTTATAGGTTTTTTATTATTGCATGACCTTGAGATCTACTGGTAAGCCTTTGGAACCATTCGACCCCGAAGTT